TCTGGGGGAAGAACAAGGCCTCCTGTCCAAAGTCGGACTGGAAAGACAAAGCCTGCAGGAGGAAACTCAAAAGACCAAGAGACGCCTCTTCATAGCGGCCCGAGACTGTGCACAGAGACAAGTGCAGCTTGAATTACAACAGAAAGAGGTGGAGCAGCTCAACCAAGCTCAGGTAGTGTTAAGTGAACTAGTACAAGTACATTGAAACACAAAAGATTTCAGTTTTTTTATATTAAGCAAGATTTTTATATTGATTAAGAGGATTTACAAATGTTGTTTAGAACTGTATAGCAAAAGGACACCAGGAACTGTATGAGGTATTTTTTTCTGCTTCCTGGTCAGGCCTGTAGTTAACAGATTTGCTCTGTTAGCATTCTCAGTGGCCCCAAAACAAAAATTAGGTTATTTTTAATTAATTGAATGTCTTTCTTGCAAAATGTGTTAACCAGATTATTTTAAATACCTGACAAGTTCCAACCAATAAAACTTGTAAAACAAATGTCATAGAAAATCATATGGTTCAAGTCAGAGGTCCCCAACCCCGGGGTCGCGACCCAGTACCGGGCCGTGAAACAGCTGCTGTTGGGCCGCAAGTACGCAAAATTAGTCTAGGCTATATGCTATCCCACTGTATTATTTATTGTGTGTTTCCCCTTTGATAGCTAATATCCAAATTTACATAGAGCGCGATTTCAGAAAATCCTTTAAGATTCAGCTAATATTAACATCAATGGGAAACAAACATCTCTCGAAAGTTTCTTTAGTTTAGTTTAGTTTTAGACACTCACTGTCACCCATCCCTCCTTGCTGAGACCTTATTATTGCAGGGAAACAAGCTCAGTGCTCCCACTGATTATTATGGTGAGTTGTAATGTTTTGTTTTAGTTTGTTGTTGCATGCAGTTGATATAGAGACGTAATTTGATGATTTCCTGTCTGCGAGAATATTGTCAAAAAAAAAAAAAAAACGGTCCATGGTATAAAAAAGGTTGGAGACCCCTGGTTTAAGTTACTGTTGTTGTGATAAATGGGTGTTAAATTCACTCTAACTGTATTCAAAACCCTCTGGCTCAGGAGGAGCTGAAGGCCCTTGCTGTTAAGTTGACTGAGGAGATCGCCAAGATCCATTCAGATCACCAAAGCCACCTGCAGGAACTACAAAAGCAACTGAACACCAGTCAGGAATCCAGCAAGAAGAAAAATCGCTCTTATGTAACTCAAGGACGACGGGCCTCTTGTGACCTCCAGCAGTACCTGCATGGTGGGATCAAAGCTCTGGAGGAGTTCTACGAGCCCCGGTTAGTGTCCCTGCTGAAGAGACGTGAGGCCACCACGGATGCCCTCAGTAAGGCTAAAGAGCAGTGCCAGGAGCTGAGGGCCCAGTTAGGACCATTGAGAGAAGAGGAGCAGATGCTGAGATTCCAGAGGACTTGTCTGGAGGAGAGGATCCAACTAATGGAGAGACAGAGGAGGGAAAATGTGGAACAATATCGGGTCAGTAATTTTCACAGATTTTAGATAATTGTCATTTTAGTTATTGAATGTTTAATGTTCTTCATTCAGGACACAGTTGATGCCTTAGAGGAGAATATCAGAGAACTGAAAACTGAGCTCAAGATCCAGATAAAGAAGACAGAAGAATTGGATATGCTGAAGAACAACACGGCCAAAGAGCTGTTCTTCTACAGGCAAGTGCAGACACTTTTTCAAAGAGGTTTTTTTAAAACGGCAAAGTAATTTACGGGGAAAATACTATTACACCATGCATGTACCAAGTGATAAAAAGACAGTTGCAATATTTCTAGTTCTATCACACTAAACTAGATAGCACCGCCCACAGTGATATGTCATTGGTCCAAAAGTTTACTCTATTAAATATTAAAAGGGGGTCAGATTCCCCCGGGGCATGATGACCCCAATTTTTTATTTATTGTAACTCATAATGTTATAATTCAGTAATTCCATGAATTACATCTTCACTTTTCATTAAAACCTATAAGCTAATTCAGTCAAATAAAGTTATGACATATCTTTAATTAAAATATAGGCAATTAAATATGGAAATATCCATAGGTTACACTTAATTTTAAGGTGTCCTTGCTACAGTGTAATTATACATTTAAGTACTGAGTAATAATAATTAACTACATGTACTTACTATATGGTTAGGGTTAGGATTAAGGTTTGGTTTAAGGGTTACTTACTTGCATGTAATTATGCATAATTTATTGTTATTATAACAGTAAGTACATGTAACGTGTAACAAGGACACCTTAAAATAAACTGTTACCCCATATGCCTGTATAAGTCATAAAATAAATGTAACTTTCAGATTAATCTCTTTTAGTCTGATGCTGCTTTGCCTGTCATCAGTTGTTCAATTATTTACTAAAGTGCCAAAACATAATTTTAAATAGAATAGCTGATTTAGTATTTTACATCAATGCCACTTACTAATGTAAATATAAACAAATATATAAATATTAATAAGAATGATATGAAACGTCATTAATACATTTTGACAACTAATTTGCAAATGTTTCAGTTTATTTCCCTTAATAACACATTGGCTGATGCATCTTCATTCTTTACACGCTACACTTATATAAAACATATATTACAATTTAAGGGGTGTTTACATGTCACTGTTTTCAGCTAAAAGCTGAAAACTTTTTATGGGTTTTGGCTGATCATTTACACGACAACCGTGTTTTGCGGGCCTGAAAACACAAACTTTTGAAAAAGGGTTTGAAAGTGTACGTTTTTGAAAACGCTACCGTTATTATGTCTGTGTAAATTACAAAACCACACATTTGTGAAAAAAGTGACATCATGTGCATACGTATAATGTGTTCAGTCTATAGGCATGCGTGAGTACTTGGCAACCAAAACCAACAATGGTGATATTCACGGTCTGTAGAAGAACACATATGTGCACAAGTGCACAGGGTTTTTTTTTTTTTTTTTAACAAAGTGACATCGCCCACTACTGGCCTGGCATGTATAATAGAGCATTTTCAGACATTTTCGCAGATCCATGTGAATGGGGATACTTTTGACAACATTGTTGTCTGTATACAAAGCTTTTCAAAAACGCAAAAAAAATAGCATTTTCCGTTTTTAGTACCTCGTTGTCGTGTAAATGTACCCTATAAAAGCACACTGTTCTCAAGAGGAACATCTTCCTCAATCTTACCCTACGTTCTGATTGGCTGTGATTGTACTGGATTTCCACTTTCAGTGTGGACAGACAATTTACTTTTACTAATTGCTGAAAACTTACTGCACTGCATCTGGTTAGGACAGATGGCACATCTATATTTTACGCCTTTATTGTCTTACAGAGAGCATGTAGAGGGCACCTGCAAGCAAGAGAACAGTGTGGTGGTGGAAAAAACCTAATGAACTAAAGTTTGTGTTCTTGATTATCTTATTATGTAAAATGTGTTTGATATATTGTTTTCATAGTTTAATCGAAACTGCCTCTCTTCTCTTATTAATAGTATCATTAAAGGGGTCATATGATGGGATTTCAATTTTTCCTTTCTCTTTGGAGTGTTACAAGCTCTTGGTGCATA